TGTCTTGCTGCGGTCAGTCATGATTTGAAGGCTCACTTGACACAAGGAGCCTCCCTGGATGGCGACCGCGAGGTTTAGGCAGCCGCTTAAGTCTCCAGGCTTGGAGAAGGGGAGCAGCGCCTTCAAACAGCCGGTCAAGTGCTACTGGGGTCACGCGAATGGCCAAATTGATGGATTCAGCTGACGCCCGAGGAATTTGCTACTTTTCCGGGTTTGTCAGGTTTCAAGGAATTCTGAGGCGTAGAATGCTCTGTCTCAAGCATAAGGGATGCGCGAAGTAATGCGCGCAGTGGCTTTGTAGAGTGTGTCCCAGAAGTTCTATCCCGTGGCTGCACTTGGCTATGATCTAAGTGATTCTAGAGCGAGATCCAAGCCTTCGAATTCCTCTGTACTAAGGGGGCTGGCAGTAGGTCCACAGGCAGGCAGATTCGCTTCCGATCCCATCCTTTACTCACATTGCTTGGAAATTTGAAACCTCAAGCCCTGAAATTGCACGTGGGTCTCAGCTGAATGGACTGACTTCAATACCAGGTCGTTCACCGCGACGGAATCTTCCCTGCCTGGATGCAAAAAAATCTGAGGCAAGAAGGGTAAAATGCGCCACTACCCCCCCCCCCGGCCCTCCCCGGATTCGCAAAGCAAGCTGTATGCAACAGCGAGAATAAGGCTTTGGGGTAATACCTGTAATTAATGTATAGCTTTGTCATGTAAAGGGCAGCAGAACATTGGTAATTAATTGTTGTGCACAACGTTGGCTACTCGTAGCTACACAAGGTTTGGGTGTTTTCATGCCAGCTGACAACCTGCTCTGTCTAAATACTCGCGAGGGAATGTTCTGAGCACAGACAGAGTGTCCACGAAAGCTCACCAACAAGACGACCTGGGAAGACCTGGTAGTGGCAGCACCTCCGCCACTATTGCCGTAAGTAACGACGCACTCAGGTGCCCACAGCCTTCACCGACTCCTCAGACCCGCGAGCACTGGCGATATGCAGAGGCTTGAGGCCCAGGGAGTCCCTTCGATCAGCAAGATTGCCTGGGCAAGGTCGCTTCTTAGTTGGGCCTTGATCATGTTTTGCTGCACTTGTCGTCAGAGACCATATGAAACTTGGCACCCCTGATGATGCGTCAAGGCTTTGGTTCCTTGATATCTGCAAGGGCAGTTGACGATCCACCGCTGCTGTTGCAGAGAAGAAGAAAAGTTCGGGCAAGGCAACCAGGACTCTGCCAAGATGCTGTCCAAGCGCAGCAATGTGTGGACGGCAGGCGCGTTGTCCACTATGCAGGCTAGATGCATCGGTGTGGCGCCAACTTCCTTGCTGATTCTGAGGGGAAGGGAGAGAGGAAATGTAGGTACTATAAGTCGTGGGGTATGTATAGGGATATTATGGGGATCATTTTCGGGATCCAGCTTCATTTGGCTTCTCAGGCTTCGCGCCAGCGGCCAGCAACGCCTCCACAGCTGCGTTGTTCCTGAAGATGGCTGCCAGGGTCAACACTGACATGCCCTTCCTTGGTTTGGCGGTGGAAAAAAGGATGAGGCTTAGGGCTAAGAATCAGATCCCCCGGAACCCCCTCGTTAAAGCATGAAGGAAACGCTGCCTTGGATGTCTGGAAGATTCTGGCAGCTTCTGAGAAGCTGGGGTCTTCTCTTTGTGAGCCATTCTCACGAGCAGTCTGTTTAGCTTGGTCGTCCATGAAATGACTGTGAATTTGGAGAAATTCGGGGAGTAAAAGCAGCGATCCAGCAAATTCGCCAACAACCCTGCATTGCCCGCCTGCCCCTAATGGTACAATCTGTACAAAGCTCCGACACATTTTTATACGATCCCCACATGCAATAATTCCTGGAGGCTCACAAGGGCGTACTCCTGCTTGGGCTTCTTCAGCTGCCTTACTGGTGCATAAGAGGGCGTGGGGGAGTGCGTTCCTAAACCCCCGAATCATAGTACTTATGTTCACTCCCCCGCTCCCCCTTAAGCACAAGTAAGACGCTCGTTAGCATCCGCGCGCTGCGCCAGCAAGGCCTTGATGAGGTCGGGGTCGCCGTCCAGCGCAGCGTAGCCTCCAGTATCGAGCTTCTTTGGGGCTGCTCAACAATTGGGGCCCCCTTGGGATGGATCTCAATTTATGCCCCCATGTACACACATCACCAGTATTCCTAACAGGCCCTATCTACATTCACCTCGTATAGGGATGAGAAGAAGTTTCTCGGGGTCCTCTTGAAGGACCTTTACTGGTGCTTGAGGGGGTCTGGATCCATCCCAAAAATCAACACAAACACCCCTGTAAACGTCCTTATCCATATTCGCTCCCCTATCCTACACCCTAAGCCCAAATCCCTAAACAGTATAGTAGCGTGCATTTTCTTGTTCACTCCCCTTAGCACCAGCAAGCAATTGCCAGCCATTGCCATCCCAAGCGTCAGAGAGGTGACCAACACACGCTCCAATGCGTGGGCGTGAGGAACCCATTCCTTCGTTCATCGCTGCTTTTTAATGGACCCCTATACGCTTAAAGGTTCAGGGCACCCCTTTCCCAAAACATGGCCCTGATTTGTTTGGGCTTGTTTGGGGTCGTTCCAGGGTAGGGGAATCATTCTTCCCTGCGGTGAAAGCTCTCCAGCATCGGGGACTATTGTAGGGGATTATGTAGTGATTGGAACTGATCAGGATGCACCTCACCGCACCTTCAGCCCCAGTAAGTTATCACAAGAAGCACGTATAGTTCACTTCTACGCTGTGCAACGAGAATCTGGTGGTAGAACTTTGCAAGCGATTCCGGCAGGTCTTTGTACTCCTCTGCGCCCGCATCAAAGTTGGGTACCAGTCCTGGAGCCAGACTAGCAGCAAAGGGAAGGTGCAGCTGAGGCTTAGTTTTGGTTGTTTGGCCTTGTTGTTGCAAGCAGAAGCTGCCGTCCTCGCATGGGGGGGTAGCCCAATCTGTCGAGGTACATCTTCCGGAGGTTCAGCAGCATTCGGTAGTCGTGAACTGACCCGCAGCGCCTGTGCTCTAATCTACTGCTCTCTGATCTGCGTTTCCGGAAACAAGGATGGATGGGGCACAATATGTGTCAGCTGAGCTGCAGATGGTGGAGCATCTTGTTCTTCAGCAAGGATTCGATGGCACCAGCTACCCGCGCACGGTCCTGTCGTCTAGGGATGCAGACTACAGGACCTGTACAGGAGTAGTGTTCTCTTTTTCCTGGGAACTCCTTCTCCACGGAAAACGCGCCAGAGCCCACGGAGCACATCAGACCCTGCTTGATTCCGTACTGTTGGGCTGTTGGATGAAACTTTGGGTGAAGGCTTGGAGAGGAGTTCAACTGTTCAATTTTGCACCATGCCTCGAACGGGTTGCCCAAAGCGAGGTGCATAGGACTCCTGGCTTCTGATTTGGTCTTTCGTGCTTCGTGCTCTGGATTTTCTATCATAGCAGAGACATCTAATGAATCCATGCACTTCCCAGTCACTTGCGCGTTCAGACCCAGCAGCACTGTCCGCCCTTTGCGCAGAGCTTGAATAGACCCGGCATTCATCAGCAGCCCAAATGTGTTACATGGCATGTCTGGACTACAAGGTTTGCGGACCAGGACCCATCGTTCCTACATCCCCTACGTCTGCCCCATTACTTCTCCACGCCAACTGTAAGCACCAGCAAGACAAGGCTCTGGACGACAATTACAGCTGTCTCCCCTGCAGCGAGGGCCCGTGCCAGGCGTTCAAGTCCTGGGCACAAATGTCTGCTTCTGGCACCCTGAAAACCCCAAACGGTGAAACGAGGGTAAAGCCTAATGCACCCCCACAAACTGGCGGCCTGGGGGATGGGGACCTAGGGATATTTAGAATTGTTTAGAGACTATAATGGGACTATGGTGGTCCTGAAAAAGAACCTATGGGGAGCGCAACTTTGCAAAATTCTCATGTGGTCAGTGTTGCAAGTAATTATTCACCTGACTTGACTGTGAAATCCCCATGTCTTCCGGCACTTGGATCTCAACGTTTTCTGCCAAGGATCTACACCAGCCCCGCTCAGACCAAGAGTAGTAGCTCAGAAAAGCGCCGTTGTCCAGGTGCCGCACTGTGGGGCAAAGAACCACAAAGTACCTTTCGCTGTTTTTTGCATCCCGGAAGCCAATACGGGGCTCCAGGTTTCGGGTGCAGGCTAAACTTCAATCTTCTGACACTGCAAAGGGCCTGCACATGTGGACGTAAGCAGGGATGCTCTCGACGGCCATGTTCAAAGAGTGGAATCGCCGCATCGGGGCCTCCGTCTCAGTGACGTCAGGATCCTGCAACAGACCTAACCTCTCCCATACATTGGAACTGCCCCGTGGGGGGGGGGTCTATATGGACTACTGTCTTTTTCAGGGCGGGCTATATTGGGTTCCAGGTTAGTTTTAGCTTGCTGCAGAACAATGTCACTGATTGATCAGCCCAGTCCTGGGGACAGCAGAAGTAATCGTACCAAATGAAGAGGGGCGTCGCGCGCATTTCCTGGCGAGATACTTTGCCCTGCTTCCCGAAGAGGTGCGTGTCGATGCGATCTGAGATGGTGATGGTTCCTGGAGGCCACATGCTCGACAGGCTCTGGATGAAGAAATCCAACCATGCAGCGTTCGGTACATGGGATTCCAGAAATTGTTATGACTTCTTGTGAACCCAGTAAAAGCATCGTGACTATTACAATGGGACCCAAAAAAGGGACGCCATGGACCCCCAATTTTGGAACCCCTAAATCCTAATTGCACGGACACCACGCTGGAGTCCGCATTTGGCCTCATCCCCCCAGTCCTGCCAAGAAGTTCTTCAATGCGTCCTGCTGTCCGCACATACTTGATCAAGCTTCTTTGGGCTTCTACCGGGCAATTCTTTCGATGCGATTGTGTGCTCAAATCCGTTGAAACTCGGCGTGCACTCATTTGCACGTTTGCGCGCTTGTTTTGAGGTCTGATGCGCTCAGCCGACTTCGTAGAAAAATGATAGTGTAAATGTGTAAATCTATGGTAGCCACAGGCTGCAGATCAGGTCAGCACCATCAGCAACATAGTCCTGCAGGACCTTGAGCTGCCTCAGCACTTCTTGCCATGAGCGTGCTTCCAAAATCAGAAGTCTGGGTTCCCTGAAATTAGGGCTGCCCTTCGTGGTGCCTATCCCATATCAGAAAAAAATCGTGTCTGTTTTTGCGATACTAATACAGAGCAAAGCTGACACCCACTCCGCCATCTGAAGACCTTGCAGCGCTAGCAGAACGCATCCACGCGTGTCTGTCTTAGACATTCTTACATGTTAAAGGGGAAACCCCCGTCTTTGAAGTATCCGTGTCAATCCACCAAGAGCAAGCGGAACGCAGCCAAGATGCGTCATGCTGGGATCCGGATGTTCCTTCGACAACCACTGATGGGACACGAAAATAGCCTTGCCCATGCTCTCATCGAATTGGACCACGAGACCCTCCTCTTTCAGCGCCTCGTGTCGCAGCATCATTCCACCACTGAGCTGAAACAATGCCGGCGTGCTCACCACACTGGCCTTTTGTGAAAGCATTGCGAAACAGCATGCAGGAATAGCTTGTTGAGGCTTGTTGTGCTTATGCTTGCTTCTGGAACTGCAACGGGATCCATTCTTTCATTCCCTACCATCAATGGAGCAAGTCAACAAAGTTGCCGTTCAAGTTCCTGATTCCCAAACGTTTGGCCTATCTGTGTCTGCATCTGCCCTGCAGATTCTCTGTGCAGACACTTCTGCTCAGTCTTCATTGCCGTTTGCCTCGTGGCGTTTGAGCACTGTCATCTTCAGGAAGGCATCGAGAGGAACGGCCTTAAACAGACCAGATGACCAATGCGCAACCACTTAGAACTAAATGGCATGAAAAGCTCCAGCGCGCATTGCAAGCTTTGAAACAGAGCCAGCGCATTGCAAGGTTCCGTTAAAAGCACCAAAACTTGACACACTGGAGAAAAACAACTATCCGTGCCAAAACTATCCCCGCACAACCTGCCATCCGCCTCCACTGCCCTTCTTTCTGCAAAATGCGATCAAGGTACAAACATTGGGAAGTTTAGAGACATGACTTCGAGAGAGTTTCGCCGTAGCGACTCACGATCTCGCCTTGGATTCTGTACGTACTTTACACACCCACAAGAAGAACAGAACCTTCCAATCAAAGGCAGTCTGCAACTCCTGGCCTGCAACATGGCAACATTCCATCGCACGCAAAATGAAACGCTACATGCAAGCACTCAGGTAAGCTGGTGTTTGCTGCAAAGCACACATAGCTTCAGCTTGGCTGGCATCCGCACATTCTCCGCAAAGTTGTCGAAGGCTGTTCTCTGCTGCTTGCTGAAGCATACCATGGCAGACAAGGCTACTAAGCCTGTCTCATCCCTCCAGGCTTCAACACGGGCACCCTTAACCTTGTTCAGGCGTGTGCAAGTTCACCAGAAATGTTCCGAGGCCGGTTACAGGAGCTGGATGTCGGGTGATGCGTGCACGCACGGTCAAGGAGTCTAGAAGCTAGGCCCAAGAGGCTCTTAGCAACCAGAGCCTTCGTCTCTGGTTGCCCCGGCCTGTGCACAGCTTTGCTGTTCAGGCCTTGGGCTCTGAGCCTGAAGACAGACGCAATCTTGCTGAGCGGATGCATGTGAAAAACTGACAGGGTCGGGCCCTTGCTCCTCATTTGGGCATTTCTGGTACATTTGCGCCCTCCGTATCAGTAACCTAGATCCGGGGCTCTTTGTTGCAGATACAGGGCACTCCCAGCGCACCAATGTTTCTCATAAACCCCCATCTGACTCAAGCCAGAAGTACACCATTGGCTCTTGACAGCACGCTGAGCCTGCTGCGACATCCATTAGCACACCTGGGTCGTCGCTTAGAAGGGTCTTCATGGAGATGCGAAGCCGCTAGGATGTATAGAGGTTGTAGAAAATTTGCCGAAAATCTGCTGAAGCTGTCTGGGTGGTGAGTCCATATGCAATTCTGTTCTGCATGACTACATGACCTTCTTGTGACCTGATGCACACGTCCTTGCAGGGGCAGTGTGCACGCAAACGTTCACCGAAGGCGATGCATCGAGTTGAAAATGCTAAGCTGGTGTTTGTCAAAACTTCGTGCATGCTTAGGCAAGCCTCACACAAATAACTACTTACCAAGTACTGCTTTGAGACTGGTGAGCAGAAGGAATGAGGGGCACCTTCTGCTCGCGAAAAGACGGGCGGTTGCACAAACCTTCAGCCTCGAAATTGAAAATCCTGATTCCTGGGCTCAAAATCCGTACGCGCAGCCTTGCTTTTGACAAGATACACAAGTGGGCATTTGAAGGAGCGGCGTCTCAGATTTTGTTGTAGAGACTTACAAGCAAGCACGTGTAATTCTTGGAAACCCCCAAGCGGTAGAGGGCATGCATGACTGCAACGGTCAAGCTGCCTCAAGACTGAGAAGTTGAAAAGAAGTCCTCAGAACCGAACTCGTGGCCCCAAAATGCAGTTGCATATGCTTCGAGACGGGGAAGTGTAATCATTCAACTCCCGCCTCTCAAACACTTGAAGCATGCCCTCCAGTACACGGCTACTGAACCATGGCAGATGTTTCAGGTCGGCCGATTGGGGATGTTGATGCTGTGGAAAGTTGGATCGAATACCATGCGATTGAACCGGTGAAGTTTCACCATTGATGCAGCTTGCGCCCGAGATTCCTGGAAGAGGGCATCCGAAAGCTGAGTGAGGGACACCGCCATGTAATGTACGGGCTTCCCTCGATGCCACCTCCGCATTCCCCCACAGCTCTATGTACAGCCAGGACTCTTTCAAAATGCTCTGGTTAAACAGCATGCGCAGCTTTCACCTGCATGAGCCTGGGTGCCCCGCTCACTGTGGCTGTGATGGAGAAGGGGCATTGGTCGGAGATCTCCTCGGGCGCCTTGGGAATGAAACTGCTCAGGCTCCAGCGTCTCAGATCAAGAAGGCAGATTGGGGACTTTAGGGACCTGGGGATATGGGGATCACAAAGTCCCTATTGAGGATTGAGAAAACTACCCCTTTCTTTGGCAACCCCATGCCGCAAAATGAGGGCGTACTGCAGCCAGCTTTCGCAGGCTCCTTGGTTGGGGGATTTGGGTAAACAGTTACCAGGTGATTGCAGTCCGCCTTAGTCCAAAATCCACTCCTTTCTGCTCAGTAGAAGCGAGGGAATGCATGCTGCTAGCGCAAGGATTACCATTGTTTTTTGGGGGATTCTTTCCCGGATTCTCCACCCCAAACCCCAAAAATCTTGGATTCAATTGTCCATTCCCTCAATCCCTCTCTGAGCGATCCTGCCTGCAAGCTGATCGCCACCGGCTCAGGCCTACGCAAAGGCTCAGCCACTGGCAATTGCACTGCAGGTCTGCTTGCTGGTGCTTAAGGGGTGGTGGATCCCTACAATTCCATGTTCTCTGCTGTGCTCTAGAAGAATCCGTACACTACACTGCCTCCCCAATTTCAAGGGTCAGATGAGATTGTCCAGCACTGGACTCTCCATGATAAGCGCCATAGTATTTGGGGAGAATGTCAGGGGGCCCCTGAAAAGACCTAGATCTCCTGCACTTCAAGAATCGCTTGCACCTGGAAGCGGCAAAAAATGGCATGCTGACCTCACGACAATGAGGAACGGCATGAAGACTGGCTTGGCAGTGGTGCTCAGGTGGGCCGCGCCTCACAAGCTTTAGGATGCTTGCAAGAGATACATGGCAGACTTTCTGTACTTCCTGCTCGCAGTTTCATGGACAGTTCTAAGCAGGGCAATGAATACCCCCATGAAACCAACCATCATCCCTACGCGTTCCACTACCCAAGAACCTCTAAATAGCCTGCGTGGCCATGGATCGAGATTCAAAAGCCCCCAACAAGTTAAGCCTCTTGATCCCTTTCGCGGTCCTCGCCTCTTAGACCATGGATCCACATGATAAACCATTCCTTCCTTCCCTAGTCTAATGAAGCGGGTTTCTGGGGCTCTGGCGCGCGACCAGCGTCCAGTTGGTCCCGGCCGAATCGAGGGGGCCCAGATAGCCCTTGCCAGCAATTAAGGAATGCAAAGACAGAAAGGGGTTACTGGTGCGCACAGGAAGGGAGAGTGGGGGCAAGCCGGAGCCCTGGGTAGTCATTAGTCTCCGGTGAACTTACTGCAGCATGGCCAGAGTTACAAGCAGACTCAGGTACGTAAAGACAAGCCACCATCAGATCTCTGAAGAGCCCAAAACCCTATACCCAAAAAACACTTTCAACCGCAAAAACCGCAATGAACCCATGTGTCACCTGGTACTTAACTACAGAGAGCCAAGCAGTGGTTACACCCAGGGTCAGACCATGGGCTCCGCGCATGGGCCCTGAATCCTGGGGTCCTCATGCATACACCTCATGGATCCTGCGTGATTGCTCAGTATAGTATAATATGGACGTACATACATACATACATACCTACATACCTACATACCTACGTACATACATACCTACGTACGTACGTACGTACGTACGTACGTACGTACGTACGTACGTACGTACATACGTACATACGTACATACGTACATACGTACATACGTACATACGTACATACGTACATACGTACATACGTACATACATACATACGTACACACATATGCGATCCGACTGCC